TTCCAAAAGGGCACAGTACTCGCTCCCATCTTTTTCCCACCCTAAATACCCGGGACATAGAAAAGGATGTCAGCCACAGAAACCCGTGTCTTCCTTTGCAGAGGGCACCCGAATCTGCATACAGTGTCTTCCATTGGCCCAAAAAAGGGAAGGGGTCCAGGGGACATCAAACCCCAAAACTTTCGTGGGCTGCAAAAACAATAGGAAAATTCAAAAGTTGAGAAATTTTAAATTTCCTTTTTGGGGAAAATGGGTTTTTAAACATGGGAGTTTTAAAAAATTATCGGACAAAAACAAATTTGGCCAAAAATTTAAAAAAAAAAGTAAAAAGGGGGGGGGTGAAATTTTTGGGGGGGGGATTATTTGGGGGCCTACAGGGGGACTCCCCCTTTGCTGGGGAAAATTTTTCGGGTTTTGGGGGGGGTGGGGGCCTTTAAAAACTTTTTTTTTTGGGGGGGGGAAAGGGGCCCCAAGCCCCCAAAAAAAAAAAAAAAAAAAATGGGGGAAAAAACCCAAAATTCCCCTCCCAAAAAAAAATTTCACCCTTGGTTTTTTTATCTAGGGTTTGGAAAAAATTTGCCCCGCCCCACAACAAACACCTTTCAAGGAAGGGGGAAAAATTGGGCCCCCCCACCCTTAAAAAAAAATGTTAAAAAAGAGAACTTTCCCCGGCGCCCCCCCATAACGGGGGAGAATTAAAAAAACCTAAATTTAACCCTTTTTTGGGAGCGCTTGAGGTTCCAAAAATGTATTCCCTTTGGGAACCCGGGGGGGGGGGGGGGGGGGAAAAGGGGGAGAAAACAGGGTTTTAACCCGGGGGAAAAACCTTTTAAAAAGGGAAAAAACCCAGTAACCCAACTTTCACACGGAAAAATCCACCCCATACGAAACAAAAGACTTGGGGGGGAAAAAAACGGAATTTTCACCATCTCCCCAATGAAAAAGCAGGGGGGGGGTCACTAGCCCGTTTTTTTGAACCATACAATAAGTTTTCAGGGCCCGAGACTGGGGTTTAACTGCCCCCCCCACACACAAAAAAAAAATTTGGGGGTTACCAACAGAAAACCCCGACAGTTTTCAAGCTTGGGGGATGGGGGCAAAGCCACCTAAAAATCATTTTTCCCATCGCCGGGGGGGGGGGCCTCGTTTTGTTGGTTTTGCGTTTCAGCCACAAAACCCCAAAAGCCTGGTTACAGGGGTTTCTGATCCACCAGGAGGCCTGGTCACAGACCCCGGGCCCCGGGGGGGGGTTGACCCCCCGGGAAATCCTCTCCAGGTAAACTCCAGGTATATTTTAAAAATATATATATATATATATATTTATATATATATATATATATTTATTATATATATATATTTATATATATATATATATAAAATAAAATATGTTTTCCGAATAAAGTAAAACTGGTCAGTTTTTGCAAGAAAATCATTTAAAAATTTAATCCTTTTTAAAAAATTTTTTCCCTTTTGGGTTTTTTCGATAAAATTTTTTTCATTTAAAGTTTTAAATTTAAAAAAAAAATTTTGCTCCAAAAGAAAAGTTAGAAAATTTCCTAAAAATTATTATAACAAGAGTAATTTATTTTAGGCAAAACCCAAATAAATAATTTTTGATTTCGTTTACAATAATTTTAAATTTTAAGCAAACAAGTGAAAATATATTTTTTTCGTTAGGGTTTAGAAAAGATTTTTGCGAAATTATTTCAAAAAAAAAATTTTAGCTTGTCCTATATGGCAAGATGAGCGTTGCTATTTTTAAACCCAAATTTGCAAAATTCACCTATTTGGGCACAGCCTGGTTGAAACAGGCTCTGATCCACCAAAGGGGGCCTGGTCCCCAGACCGGGCCGCGGGGGGGTTGACCCCCCGGGAATCCCCTTAAAGGTAAACTCCAGGGAATATATTTTATATTTTTATATATATATATATAATATATATATATAATATAAATATTTATATTTTTATATATATATATATATAAAAAATAATATAATATAAAGGGGGGGTACCCCCTCTAAAATGTCCTGGGGCCCCCTTTATCCTCAAGAAAAGAGTAAACTTGCCCCAGGGAAAACTTAAGGTTTTTCCCTGAAAACTTTTTTTAGAATTTTCTCCCCACCCCCCCCCTATATTTAATGTATATTTTTTTTTAAAGACAAAATACATTGGGCAAACCATTCACGAAATACAAAAGAAAATAAAAAAAAATTGATGACAATCAGAGCTACATCTTTGAATACTTCTCCAGCTTAACGGGGGGGGGCCGCGTGCCCAGAATTTCGCCCGGCATTTCCTCTTGGTTTGCAACACTGAGGGTTTTGAAAGAGGAAGTGGTCTCCCTGTGGTCCTTGGGTTTTTTTGATGAGTTTTTTACCCCCTCTTTGAGGGGGAAATTTAGGCCACTTGCCCCATGCTCCCCAAAGGGGCTCCCCCTATTTTCCATGAAGTTATAGCAAAAGGGGAAAAGGGCTTTATATTTGCGGATCTTCGGGTCTCCCTGTGGGTGGCAGCTCCACCACCTTCAATACGGAGTATGGCAAGTAGGTGTCTGCCAATGTGGCGGGGACATGTTGGGGTTCCCCCAAACAATTGCTTTCCATCCTTCCCCCGGGTAGCCAAAAGTGGCTCCATCAGGAAAGCTTTTTAAATTCTGCCAAACCTTCTGCACTTGGGGTCCCCGTTGAGCTGGGCAACGGGCTGTGGCGAGGCTTCTCTTTATGATGTCATTGACCTCATGTCTGGCATATTTCCCTTCTGCTGTGTGACACACGAGACCATGAAGTCCGAATTGATCAGCTGTCACCCTGCCGCAAATACACCTATGTTCGGTGAGGATGGGGGTGGCTAGGCAAAGAGCAACACCAATCTGAATGGCCTGTGGATTGAGACGAGTGCCCAGGGAGGAATTGGGAACAGCTAAAAGAAAATCTGAGTGTGGTGCCTTCACTGCCAGGAGACGAGCTTTGTCCTTTCCTGAAGCGTTGGAGAGCATTGTGTTGGCGATTTTTTCCATGATTGGTTTGTCCCAGTGGGACTGTTTGTGCTCTTTGGGAGGAGCTGGTCCACTGGAGGAGTCTGCAAGGGTGTCCCACCGAATCGCTGCTTCAGTAAACCTGGGGTCTTGAGCTCCTACCACGTCTCTCAAGCGTTCGGGGACAATCTTCTTGACTAATGCACTGGAAGCCAAACACGAAGACAGAAAAGTAGGTAAAGCAGCATATGTTGCTTTGCGCACCCCTATACCTCCCAGTCGCACTGGGAGGGTTGCCTGATCCCATTGCTGATCCTCTAGTGACAGGTTCAGTGCCTTCTTAAAGGTTGATCTCAGGTGTGCGTCATATTCGTTGAGTGTTGGGTTGTCAAAAGAGGGTGCACACCTCAGGAAGTGAGTCTTGGCATAGTAAGACACCTTGTGAGGAGATATAGAGCATCATGGGCATCAAGATTGCTTATTCTCTCCTCCATTCTCATCAGGTAATTCAATTTGTCCTTGAGGACAGTGTCGATGGCCGGGTGACCCAGTGGTGCTCCCAAGAGGGTACTGTTGGACGGAGTGGTAGTCGAGACTTCTGGGAGGATTCTTCGCACGGCATTGATTATTTCCTGGTTTGCTGTTATGATTTCACACTTGGAGGGATTGAGGATGAGTCCCAAGTTTTCTCCCTGTGTTTTCACCAGTTGTAGGTCCTCTAACAGGGACTCTTCAGTACCTGCCAGAGTACCATCATCCAGGTACCAGATGTTGAGCTCGGTGCATAGGCTGAAGTTAGTTCTCTTACTGCCAAGCAGAAGAAAAGTGGAGCGAGTGGGTCACCCTGCTGAACACCCTCTGATGAGAGAATTTCATGTTCTCCAAACAAAAGAATTGAGGGTTTGCTGTAGCCGGCTGAAATGAAGGGAAAAAGACTGGATAACAGATCCCGAACAGCTGGCAAGACATCTCTCTTCACCACATTAAAGTCATTTCTAAAATCAAGTTTGACTACGGCCTTGTCTTCTGGTAGGTCCCTGATGTAGGCCCTTGCCACATGAGCTGCAGTTTCACTGCCTTGAGAGACCCCAAATCCCAGTTGGTGTGGCTGGAGTAAACTGGCAGCTTCTAGGCAAATGTTTCTTACTGCTGCTTTGGCAACGAGACGGCGAAGAGTGTTTCCAACCGCAATGGGTCTGATTCCCCCATCCTTCTTCTTCAAAGCACATAGTGAGGCTCTAAAAAAGAAAGGTTTAATTTCTTCTGGGATTCGCCCAGCCAGGCAGTTGTTAACGAAAGTTGTTAACTCGGTGAGAATTGATGCAGATGCACCGAGTACTGGATTTACCATCTCTTTGAGGTGCTGAGGTCGAATTCCAGTATAACCTCCTGCAGATCCTGCTGGAAATGACACAATCGCCTTATAGACTTCTGATTCTGGCAAAATTAATTGATGGGGTCTTCCTCAGGGTTGTTGTTAATGGCTATGGTGTCCCTGGTTGGATGCTTGTCTCTTAGTGCTTGGGCCGTGGTCTCATCTTTGGGGGCTACAGTGTCGTCACTTGTAATTATTCTGATTGCTCCCACTGTATATATACACATGCAAAACAACCACGGGGGAGTAGAATGAAAACTCTAGGCCTTTCGTGTTGCAATCAACACATTGCGGTCCCCTGGGAACGTATTCACTTGGAAACCCTCTTCTTTTCTACATTTGGCAAGCTCCTGATGATGTGTTGATTGCAACACGAAAGGCCTAGAGCTATCATTTTACTCCCCCCGTGGTTGTTTTGCATCTTGCATCGCTTGGTTTGCGATATTTGCTTTATATATATATATATATATATATATATATATATATATATATATATATATATATATATATATATATATATATATATATATATATATATATATGTATCAAATACAAACAAAAAATATATTGTATAGTAATAGATTAGATAAATTTGAAGCCCATTCTCCATCTTGAGTTTCACATGAAATGAATTCATTGTTAATTTTCCAGTGTGCATGGCGTCATTATCGCCACGCCAACCTTCATGCACAAGGATCTGATCATTCGAGGTCTGAGCGCGGGTAAAGCTGTCTTCTGTGAGAAGCCCATCGCTGAGGACATTAAAGGCACAAGACAGTGTTACGAGGTAGCAGAGAAAGTAGGTGCTGTGTTGCTTCCGATATTTGGCTAATACTAAATACTGCTGTGTCAAACGTGCCATCAAATAACTATTAATTAAAAAAAAAACTGCTTCAGAATAAAAAATATATTTTAATCTACTTAAGCAATGAAATATTTAGACTTGAAGAAATGGTTGCAACTTAATAAGCATAAGGCCTAAATGTTCTAACGTTCCAAAACTTATATCTTCACATAGGTAGGGAAGCCTCTCATGTGTGGCTTTAATCGTCGATTTGATCCCAGCTTCAGCCACTTGCGGGATCAAGTGCTCCTGGGCGTAGTGGGACAGGTGCAATTGGTCAAAACTGTCGCCAGAGACTCGCCTCTTCCCTCTATAGAATATCTTAAAATATCAGGTGAATGTTTTTACCAGCCTAGTATCAGTTTTCAAAATATAGTCATATTACTGTAAACAAATAATGTCTCCTTGGAATAAGAAGATGAGAGATAGAGTGTGCTTCCCTGGAGCTGGTGTTGGGGACATTGTCAACAGGCTGGATAATATCATGTCAGGTAATGGGAGCAAGCCCATTATCTGTCTCAGTGCTGGTGGAAATGATATTGGGAAGGGTAGGAGAGAAGAGCTGCTAGATAAGTACAGGTCAGCTATAAATTTCATTAAGTCTAAGGGAGGGATCCCAATCATATGTAGCATCTTGCCTAGAAGGGGAGTAGGAAATGAATGGTTGTCTAGGGCAATTGGTGTAAATTGCTGGCTAGACAGATACTGCAAGGAACTTGCAATCCCATTCATTGACAACTGGAACAACTTTTATGGCAAACATGATATGTATGCAAGGGATGGGGTACATCTCTCTGGGGCTGGGGTGGTAGCACTTGCAGACTCGATTGAGAAGGCCATTGGTGAAATGCCTATGATTTTAAACTGATGGAAGAATAGAGGTATGGGTGTGTGTGGGAAACAAGCAGGTTGCAACACTAGGGTTGGAAACAGTAAATGTATAAAAGGCATTCAGCATGAAGTTATAAATAAAGACAATAGAACAGGTCAGCTAACAAAGGGGGGCAGCAGAGGGCAGCAAGGGACTAGCTCCCTTAAGGTTTACTATACTAAATAGCAGGAGTGTTAGAAATAAGATAGATGAGCTAAGATTAATTGCAAGTGCAGGAAACATAGATATTATTGCTATAACAGAGACCTGGCTCAATCTGAAAGATAGAGAGATGCCCTCTGAATGTCACATACAAGGCTATAAATTATTCCACACTGACAGGGTCAACAGGAAAGGTGGTGGAGTAGCGATGTATGTCAGAGACAATTTAAAATTGTTGTGTAAGACAAGATATTAAATTAGAAGCGTCAGCCACTGAATCTGTTTGGTTACAGCTTCTCGAGGGCCGAGAAAAACTAATTTTGGGTGTGATTTACAGGGCCCCAAATCTTGATAGGGAGTGCAGTAAACTTCTATGGGACGAAATTCGTAAGGCATCTACATACGAAAATGTTGTGCTAATGGGAGATTTCAACTATAGACAGATTGACTGGAGCAATTTGACAGGAAATTTAGAGTCGGGTGACTTTCTTGATACGATCCAGGATTGTTTTTTAAACAGTTTGTGACAGAGCCAACTAGGGGAAATAACCTCCTTGACTTGGTTCTTGCCAGTAGGGAAACACTAATTAATAATCTTGAGGTTAATGATGAGCTTGGGGAGAGTGATCACAAATCACTCAGTTTTAATATATCATGGAATTCCCCTAATAATGGCAATCAAGTCTCCGTCCTGACTTTCGCTTGGCTGATTTCATAGGACTGAAAAATTACTTAGGTGGGCTGAACTGGAATGACCTGACTAAGGGTCAGGTAGGTGGTGATGGTTGCCGATATGATGCTTTCCAGGGCATAGTTCTAGCTGCTCAGTCAAATTATGTTCCAAATAGGGAAATCAGATCAAACAAAAATGATCCTAAATGGATGAACAATAGATTAAAATATCTGATTGGTCAAAAGAGAGGCATATATAGGCAAATCAAAAGAGGAGAGGGGCAATTAAGAAATCGATATATTCAGTTAAAGAGAGAAATAAAAAAGGGAATTAGAAAAGCAAAAAGAGATTATGAGGTTAAAGTTGCAAGAGAATCGAAGACTAACCCAAAAGGATTCTTTCAGGTATACAGAAGTAAGATCAGGGACAAGATAGGCCCACTCAAAAGTTCCTCGGGTTAGCTCACTGACAGTGATAAGGAATGTGTAGAATTTTTAACACATACTTCCTCTCAGTTTTTACACAGGAGGATACCAGCGATATACCAGTAATGATAAATTATGTAGAACAGGACGATAATAAACTGTGCACTATTAGGGTCACAAGTGACATGGTCCTTAGGCAAATAGATAAATTGAAACCTAACAAATCCCCAGGCCCTGATGAACTGTATGCAAGGGTTCTAAAGGAATGTAAAGAGGAGCTTAGCACACCTTTGGCTAATCTTTTCAACATATCACTACAAACTGGCATGGTGCCAGATAAGTGGAAAATGGCAAATGTGATACCTATTTTCAAAACAGGTGACAGGTCCTTAGCTTCGAACTATAGACCAATAAGCCTAACCTCCATAGTGGGAAAATTTATGGAATCAATAATTGCCGAGGCAGTTCGTAGCCACCTTGAAAAGCATAAATTAATCAACGAATCTCAGCATGGTTTTACAAAGGGGCGTTCCTGCCTTACGAATTTATTAACTTTTTTCACTAAGGTATTTGAGGAGGTAGATCATGGTAATGAATATGATATTGTGTATATGGACTTCAGTAAGGCTTTTGACAGGGTCCCTCATCAGAGACTATTGAGGAAAATTAAAGCACATGGAATAGGAGGAGAAATTTTTTCCTGGATAGAGGCATGGTTGACAAATAGCAGCAGAGAGTTTGCATAAATGGGGAGAAATCAGAGTGGGGAAGCGTCACGAGCGGTGTTCCACAGGGGTCAGTGTTGGCCCCCTGCTGTTCACAATCTACATAAACGACATAGATGAGGGCATAAAGAGCGACATCGGCAAGTTTGCCGATGACACCAAAATAGGCCGTCGAATTCATTCTGACGAGGACATTCGAGCACTCCAGGAAGATTTGAATAGGACTGATGCAGTGGTCGGAGAAGTGGCAGATGCAGTTTAATATAGACAAATGCAAAGTTCTAAATGTTGGACAGGACAATAACCATGCCACATATAAACTAAATAATGTAGATCTTAATATTACGGATTGCGAAAAAGATTTAGGAGTTCTGGTTAGCAGTAATCTGAAACCAAGACAACAGTGCATAAGTGTTCGCAATAAAGCTAATAGAATCCTTGGCTTCATATCAAGAAGCATAAATAATAGGATCCTCAGGTTGTTCTTCAACTCTATACATCCTGGTTAGGCCTCATTTAGATTATGCTGCACAGTTTTGGTCACCGTATTACAGAATGGATAAGATTCTCTGGAGAATGTACAAAGGAGGATGACGAGGATGATCCCATGTATCAGAAACCTTCCCTATGAGGAAGACTGAGGGCCCTGAAACTGCACTCTCTAGAAAGACGTAGAATTAGGGGGGATATGATTGAGGTGTATAATGGAAGACAGGAATAAATAAAGGGGATGTAAATAGTGTGCTGAAAATATCTAGCCTAGACAGGACTCGCAGCAATGGTTTTAAGTTGGAAAAATTCAGATTCAGGAAGGATATAGGAAAGTACTGGTTTGGTAATAGAGTGTGGATGAGTGGAACAGACTCCCAAGTACGTTATAGAGGCCAAACGTTGTGTAGCTTAAAAATAGGTTGGATAAATACATGAGTAGATGTGGGTGGGTGTGAGTTAGACCTGATAGCTTGTGCTAACAGGTCGGTTGCCGTGTTCCTCCCTTAAGTCAATGTGACCTGACCTGACTAGGTTGGGTGCATTGGCTTAAGCCGGTAGGAGACTTGGACCTGCCTCGCATGGGCCAGTAGGCCTTCTGCAGTGTTCCTTCGTTCTTATGTTCTTATGTTCTTATGTTCTAACACTGTATGTATTCAGGTTACTGTAACCAAACACTGTAGTTGGGTTACAGTGTTCAGAACATTGTAACAAATGAAATGAGAATATTTATTTTAAGGAAAACCTAATAACAATACTAGAACCTTTCTTATGAAGAATTTTTTAATGTCATACGATGATTTTTACAACCAGAACTTCAGTAGCATGGTTGGTCAAAGGGATGGGCCTGAAATATGCAGGGACCACGTTTCAAGTCCCTCTCCATTTTTTTCTGCTTATTCTTATATGCGCTTAAAACTACATATGGTATCTTCCTCCACCACTTCGAGGAATTTTCAATTTCCGACACCCTGAGACAGTGAAAATACTCCGTGACATAAAGAACAAAAAGGCACAATACCGTGACCAGAACAATACATGACATCTTTAATCTTTGGTCTCATGACTCTAGTCTCTTCCAACCATTTCTCGATGCCCTTAATAATCCAGTTTATACTTTATATGTCAGGACTTCTGGCCCCTACCCCAATCTTCGTAACTTTTCATTTTCTGGGATGAATTCAAGTAACCACCTACCTGACTCATCCTGCAGTTTGTCCAGATCCATGTGCTGCCTTTCCCTGTCCTCATCTCTTTGTATCCTCCTCATTAGTTTTACTTCATCGGTAAAAATGGATACATCTTATTGAATTCCATCTGGAATGTCATTCACATAAACCAGAAACAGTGCTGATCCTAGACTTGCAGAACCCCGTTTTTTTACTCTTCCCCAGTCTGATAACTTTTCCCAGATAATCACTAGGGTACGTTTCCTGTTATTCCTGCATGTCCCTCAAAATGTTGCTCCAGTCTCTTGTGGGGTGCAGTGCCAAATGCCTTCTTAAAGTCTAAGAAAATGTAATTTATTCAGCCCTCTCTCTACTCTGTCGCTTCCATTTATTGGTCATAGAATTCCAACAGGCTAGTAAGATAAGATTTGCCATCTCTGAACCACTTTTCCATACCACTCTTTCTCTGATTATCTCCATTACTTTGCAAGGTATGCATGCCAGCAAAACTGGTTAGTAGTCCAACGCTTTCTGTTTGTCTCCTGTCTTAATTATAGGGTTTAGACTTGCTTTCTTCCAGATCTTGCCAACTGTACCATGTCCATTTGTTTTTTTAAAATTTCAATCTTAGCTAGTAGTTCGGACACTGATTCCGCACCTCTTGCAAAATCCATGGTGACACCTTGTCAGGTCCCATTTTTTCTGATGTATCTACTCCCATCAAAAGTTTTTTTTTTTAATCTATTTTCTCTGTTGTGAGTATGGTGTCCAGTACCTGCTGGTTTAACTTCTCCCTAGGCTTTCTGGCATTACCCTTGTT